CCCCAAAACCCCAAAACCCCAAAACCCCAAAACCCCTAAAGTTAACAATAATATTGAATAATTATCTTCTTTTCTTATTCCTATTGGCCATAAATTTCGCTCTTGTACCTCAATCTTCGATATGCCTCTTCGCTGCATGCTCATTAAAGGTTCTTTTTCAATGTGGACAAGGAACTAGTCCATCATCAACAATCTGGACTTCCATTGGTTTTCCAGTTCTGGCTGCTTTCATTACTGCTCTAAATTGTTCACCTATAGGAAGATAAAATATCAAAGTTACTCTCAGACCTCCATTTGTTCGAGTTAACAGCTTTCTTTTTAGGAACTATAGATATTTAGTAATATTTTACCAGTCTTAGGTACTTTTGTTTTTGGTTTGGTCTTTCCCTTACAACTATGGAATAATTAATCGAAATCTACCTCTTTAAATGAATCCCCAGCGCTTTTTCATTAAAAGTTCTGCCTCATAAGTGGCAGGAAGAGAGAGGTACATCCTCAGAAGCTTGTTCAGGGGGTAAAGTCGGAGATCCTCCACTAAAGTTAGAGCCTTCCGGACTCTGAGCATTTCTAGGCATCTCAGCAGGAGGTTTATTCTGTGTTGAATTAACTACAAAACTCTCTGTAGGCATCTGTACCATTGAAGCTTCCTTAACTTTGAAGTTTCCAAGAGGCTTGGAAACTTGAGAAGCTGACTTCTCGAAGGTCTCTGTGACTGGCATGATCAAAGTCCCTTCAGAGTTATGAGCAACTGGAGGAGGCTTTGTAAATTCCTCAACTTTCGGCTTTGGAGCAGCTCTTCTTTCTCGAGGCTGAGGCTTCCTTGCAGTAGGAAATTTCGAAGGATTTTCTTGAGCTTCCATCTTAGTCTCCTCATGCTTTGGAGCAACAGGCAAACTTGGAGGTAATTCAATTGCTGTAGGCAATTGGTCTACTCGATGAGCAGCCTGAGTTTCTGGCTTAGAAGAAGCTGATGGAGTATTAAATTTATCATCTTCGAATTTTGGCTGGAAAGTTTTACGATAATTTGGCTGTTTTAGGCTTGGTTTGAAGATACTAAATTTTATTTTTGTCCCATTACTTTGTATTGACTTCAGGTCGAGTCCCTCTTTTAGGAGCTTTAAAATCTGTGCTGAATGTTGTCTGGCGGTTAAGTTTTGATTTTAACAACAAGAGTCCTTGTCTTGCTTTTAGAACTTTATCAGATATTACTTCTCCAGGAAGTTGGAAGTTTTTGAGAGGGTTGGATTGTAGCTTAGGCTTGTCTATAGTTTTGATAAGTATGCTCTTAGAAAATGATAGTGGAAGTATATTGATTTTTAACTCAAATCAATTTCTTACTCTTTACTTCAATAGTAGAACTTTCTCCTTCTCCTCTCATTTCAAGCCTTTTTTTATGAGCCCATACTATAGAATCTGCTATATTGCTTGGTTGGCTAAAAATACATTTAAGTATCAAAACCAGGAGTAAAAACGTTAAAAATATCCAAAGAATATAGAAAAAAGAATAAATAACAGAAAATTCATGCTCTGAACTCTAAATAAACCATCTTCTATCTTCTCCCTTTCCAAACAGAGTAATCCTCAAAAATCCCTTACAAGTCTAATAAAGCCCAATCCCCTCCCTATCTCCATTCTCACTCCCTTCTATTAAACTTCCTTTTGCTCTTCCATACCTTTCTTCCATTACTTAATAATATTTCAACTGGGGGACCACCAGGAGGGGTTTTGGGGTTTTGGGGTTTTGGGGTTTTGGGG